TGCTTTCTTTAGGATTTTATATAAATTTCTATACGCTTGTATTAAGGCTGTATATGCTTGTATGGGTTGTTGGTTTTCATTTTTTCACTTCCATTTTAAGCAATTTATTGTTTTTGTTTTACTTTGCCTCCTTGTCACAGAAACCAACCAGCAGCCGTGAACCTTTCAGATCTGTGATAGAAGAGAATGCCGTAAACTGTCAAATGTCATTTTAATTAATGTAAAGTGGGAGCCTGTCCTCCACTTATGGATTTGCAGAATAACCTTGCATTTGTTCACAGCTCCATTGCAGCAGAGATGTCATTCAGTAGTCCTTAAGAACCAGCTAAATGTACCAAAAATGTAAATAGCTGTAATAGTTGCTATTGTAAAAAAGCTACTCAGCAGAAGGAAAATGAGCAGAGCTAAAGAGGTGGAAAGTCTAAAACTGATCTCCACGGGTGATATTAATCTGATTGTCTCTTCTCTTCTGACTTCATTTTTCTTTTTAATCTTCCTGTGTGACTGTCTTGTCATGTACTTAGCTAACATAATTACTCTGATTTCATGTAAATTATATTTTTAGCTTGGTTTCCCAAGAAAATAATACCTATCCTCTCTGTCCATCTCTGTTCCGTAATAACTTCTGAATCATTTAGCCTGGTTCAGACAGATTTGACAGGAGTTGAGGTCTAAAAGATTGGATTCCTGCAGGTTTTGTGAAAATTGTTAGCTGAATAAATCTATGCATCTGCTGAAGGAAAAGGCTCTAGATTGAAAATGGTTGTTAGTTGTTCTGCCTGGCCTTCTGAGCTGATCGATTAAAACATCATGTTGGCCAGACAGAGTGTGCACACCTGAGATGTAGTGTATCTTGCATACTACTCAGCTGGGGTTGCAGTGGAACGGAAGATACTGAGAGCAGTTTCTGGAGAAGTACTGGTAAGAGCTTGAGTGTCAGGTGGAATGGTAGGGATAGCATTTGCCTAGAGAGGGGGAATACTGAGGATGCTGCAGCCAAGCTTGTTTTGTGACACGTATTTCCACTGCTTCTTGTGGAATTTGATTCCACTTTGCTGAGAAGTTTCCAGGTTCTTCAAGTATGTCTTCATTTAGCAGTTCATATGCTGTTGGTGGCCGTATGTGGCATGTTGCTGCATGCAGGTTGTTTTTGTTTTTAAGTATTTGTGAGGTCCATGTCTTGAGTATCTTCATGTGTTTCATAGAAGTGAAGAAAATGATGTAGCTTTTAGGGGTTAGTTCTGCAGTCTCTTCAAGCTGGTCAAGCTGAAGATTTCTAGTGAATAAGTCTTACTTTTTGGTGGCTGCATGTCCCCACTCTCTGTTGTAAGTGAGCACCATTGCTTGGGAGCTAGAAATCTCAATTTGGGAACTGAAGATGTTTGGGAAAGAATTCTGACTTTCAGACAGATTAGTTTCCTTATCTGTTTTACTGCAGGAACAGTAATACCAGCACAGATATAGTAGTAGGAGTAATATAGCTGGCTTTGGAGGAAGAAATGGCTTTGTCTGCTGGTGGAAGCTGGCACCTCATTTAGTGTTTTAAGCCATTGTGGAACAGTACTCTGTTCTTTCTTGCTTACCTCTGTCTGCAGTTCGGGACTTTGTGACTTGAAACTCCAGAAACTTTGATGTGGGCTATTCCATGTCTATTGGTAAGGAACACAGAGCTTTTGGAAGCATCTAAATTACTGATATACGTATGTGTTCTGCATGCTGCATAAGAAGAAAGCAAAATTACTGGTAATAACTGCTTTCTCAGGGTTTTGAGTTGATTTATACACAAGACATCAGAAGGAGCCTTGGGATTTTGGTTGTGGAAGAAAACCTTGACCTGTGCATTGAATCAAGTGGTTCTTGATACCACAGACACAAAACCTAGATCCACTGTGATCTTGCTTGCTAGGAGAGAGTCATCTTTGGATTTGAATCCCCAGCAATTCTTTGTGTCTACTGTTTGATGGATGTGAATTTTATCTTTTATTGATATTTACTCACATTTTTCTGGTGGACTTTGAAGCAGTCCAGAGACATATAAAGATGCTACTTTTCTGCAGCGTAAAGAGAACTTGTTAGGCACCAGGGCTGTTACACTTACAGTAAGGTGACAGTTACTTCTGGATCTTTTGGAAATGCTTACAGATGGTTGGAAGAGCTTGGATTTGGTTTTTGCTGTCACTTCAGTATTGAAGAGCTGTGTTCTGCTCTGGACAAAGTTAGTGTGCACCACACATGATACAGATGCTTATTTCATCAGCTGTTGTCTTGGTGTATCTGCCATGAAAATTTGGAAGTGGAACCTATCAGTTGATGAGGATTCAGGATTTCTAAAAGTCTGCTGTAGGTTTCATTTTACTTAACTTGTGCTGCTCCTGCAGAAAATACAATCTGCCTTAAATGTAGGGATCTTTCAGCAGATTGTGTCAAGGTAGGAACAGAGGAATTGAGAAGCCCCACTTACTGCTTTAAGAAAATGTAGGGTGAACTTGCATTCAGTGATTAATTACACTGTATTGCATTGTCCTTTAAGAAGCTCTCTGCATAAACTGCAGTTTAGCACAAATTAATGAGTGAGGAAGGGTAATTTTTAACATCAAATTCATACATAAGTGTAATGTATGGGACTTGTGGTCAAACATGTATTTAGTGTTACTAAAATTCTGCATGAGCTGGGCTAATGATTTACAAAAAAGTGAACCAGAAGGAAGCTAGAACTGATGTGAGGATCCCCTTGGCAAATCTATAGAGGTTATGTGAAGATTATAGAGAGAGGAGTTCTGCAATTCAGAAGGAGAGTGAATGTATTCATGTGTGAATAATTGGTATTATAATAGTTTGAGTTATAGAAACTCAGTTCTAAAAAGCAGGATTCCTCTGACAATAGTATTTCTACTGCCTCTGGCACAAATAGTGCCAAAAGACTGACTATCAATGATACATTTCAGATGAGTAGTTCTGAAAGAAGTAATTGAAAAGGTGTTAATGCATTAACTTGCAATTGTATATGCTCTGCTAATTTTTTTTTCTTAAAGTTAACTCCGAGTTTTTCTTCTGTAAGTGATTACCCCATTCTGTTACTGAGAACTTCAATGTATTATGAACCGTACAGACTGCAAAATAAAAAGAATGTGATGCTGCTCTGGATGGTTAACAGTCCTGCAGAAGACGAACGTGGAGCAGGGAAGAGGGAACTCCAGATTAAGTTCATTATTTAGTAGCAATCCACGAGCATTTGCTTTTTAGCTTTATATGAGTTTTACCCAATGCTAGCTCCTATTTGCTTTTTGGACTGTAGGTTATCGGGTCCATGTCAGTCCTAGAATCATTAAGGTTGGGAAATTGCTCTTAGATCATCTAGTTTAACATCTACACCCTTAGCAACGCCTTATTTTTTCCCCATAAATGTAAAGAGAATGTAGATAATGAAATCTAGTGCAGGTTTCCACCTGGTGCACTCCATGCCGTTCCCTCAGCCCTGTCACAGAGCAGAGCTCAGCGCTGCCCTTCTGCTCCCTCTGAGGAGCTGCAGCCGCCATCAGGCCTCCCCTCAGCTCCTCTGCTCTGGGCTGAGCAAACCAAGGAGCCTCACCCGCTCCTCTTGCACTCCAGACCCCTCCCCATTTTCATAGCCCTTTTTAGGATATTCTCTAATAGTTTCATGTTCTTCTGTTGTGGTACCCAAAACTGTGCACGGTGCTGCAGGTGAGGCTGTACCAGAGAGCTGGCGGGATGGTTCCTTCTCTTGCCCAGCTGGCAGTGCTGAGCCTGATGCTCTGTGACTTTCTGTCATTTCATTCTCCACGCTTGTACCTGCATAGTGCTTGCATCTTAAAAGCAATTTAATAAACACTGATCTTTGTAACTCAGTGTGAAGCTGGCAGTTACAGGCCTAGGACTTAATACCCCATAAATCAAGGCAACCTACGAATAGCAGGAACGTTATGGAGGTGCTCAGCACGTCCCCATTTTGAAATGGAGAAGTTGTTAATCTGCTAAGTATTGGCTAGCGTGTTCAGTTATCAACACTTGACTGCAACTTTGCAAAATAATGAACAGCTTACATTGTTGCCTTAAAATGAATATAGGCATTTCCATTTTTCTCAGTCTTTTCCTTAGTCTTCTGAGCTGTGTCTTACTTGTGCTCTTGCAAAAGATAAAGTAAAAAAGTATGGATATGGAGTAATGGAAAAAGGATCATGTACCAGTGTTGCTTCAGGTTGAATTGCATATAGTGAGAGAAAGATATTGATGATGATGCTAGATTAGTAAGTTCTTTTTAAGAGGCTGTTTTCTGTTCTTCATGCAGACTGATTGCATAAATGCAAATGTTTGTCAGGTCTTGCTGTAGAATGAGTTGCTAAAATAGTCTGGACTGGGAAAAAAAACAAAAAAAAAGACCTCTTCTTTTAAAGCCACATTCTGTCAGTGCAGTGACCTTGTGTACAGAGCTGAGAGTGAACAGGAGGTGAAGGAGAGGATTACTCCTTAGGTGACTTAATAACTGAAGATGTGTTTGAATTGACAATGGAGATAAATAGAAATGAGAAGTTCAAACTGGATGTAAGGCGAAATGCTTTTTTGGCACAACAATTGTGCATCAGAAGAAGAAACATGGAGGTCATGTAGTCTGCATCTATGGAGTTTTTCAATACTTGACTAGATAAAGCCTTGAGCAACCTGATCTGCCCTCATAGCTAACCCTGTTTTGAGCAGAAGTTTGATATAGAGAATTCCTGATGTACCCTCCAACATGAATTATCTATCAGTCCACGGGTTTTACTTCCATCTCTTTTGCTGTATAATGCATTCAAGTAGCTGGTGTTACAAAAAGGGGGCTGAGTTCTACATCATTGCTTAGCTGTTTTCTTTGAGTGATTTTCCTGCAAATGAATATGTACTGTGTATAAAAGGCATTGAGTAGGATACAGCATATTCAAATGTACTAGTCTGTTTAATGGGAAGGACTTGCATATCTAAATTTTTTTTTCCTTGCAATTCAGTTCGAATAAGGAGAAAGTCAAGACGGCGCTCACAGTGGGGCAAAGGCATTATTAAGAAGAGGAAAGTCAATAATTTAAAGAAAGATGAAGATGATGCAAAGTTTGCTGACGATGAAAATCATGGAGAGGACAGTAAATTGCTGGAAAATGGTGAGCTAGAAATCAGCACTGACTGCATTGAGGAGAATGGGGAGGAAATAGGAGATCTCTCTATGACAAATGATGAATCCTCTTGTGATATTATGGATATAGATGCAGAGCAGAGGCTTAACAATGGGACATCAGGAAAGGAAAACAACTTTGCATCTACAGAAGAAGAGAGCTCAAATGAATCTCTCTTAATAACTGAGAGAGTTACTCTGAATGCTGAAAAGGATTTAAGGAAAGACTCTACACTGAAAGGAGACTGTGTAAATGGAGAGACATCTGTACACAGTTTAGAGGGTATACCTGTTCCAGCATGCCATAATGGTAAAGTGGAATCAGTTGATGCTGCTTCAACCAATGACAACAGCACTGGATCTAGTGACAAGAAAAAATCTTCTGAAGATCAGCCAAAGGACAAAACAGAACCTTGCAGTGAGAACCAAGGAGATGATTTACTGAAAGCAGATGTACCACACTGCAGCAATAATGGAAAAACACTACAGAGCACAGACCTTGAGACTAAAGATGCTGAACCAGATAAAGAAGGTATAGTTTATTCTCAGTGTCAATTTAGTGTCCATGTTAATGTATGTATTTTTAATCGTAACAACTTGAGTTACAATTCTTACTATATTTTATAATCTCCTGCCTAGTTACTTGAAACTTATGCTTATACCATTTAATTCCACATAAATCAATTAAAAGTTCACTGTTGACTTGCTGTAACATTATCTTAAGCAAATAAGTTTATCTTCATACTTAAAGTATTCTGGTTTTTTTAATGCTTTATTGGGGGGAGGCATTGTAAGTATTGTGATAACATTATTTACATTACAATTCAAGGTTTACAAACTGTTATCGATGAATATAAATAACTGTATGGTATGTTATGTATTTTGGTATAGATGATACATTCCTTGATGTTTTTTGGTGGAATTTGTCATAAAAATTGTCATTTAAGTTAGATCAAAAACCAGAGAAATATAGAATGTATTTAATCTTGAATGTCTCCTTTAAAAAAAAAAAAAAGTGTATGCTCATAACAAAAGTTAAAATAGTTCAAGTCAGCAAAAGCCAGAGACAGCATTGTTTATCTAATGGAGTAAATATCTGGATTGACAGCCAGTGCAGTAGTAGTGCCACAAAAAGATAAGAGAAAGGGAAGGGAAATCCTGGTGGTGCATAAAAGAAGGGACTGTGTCCTTTGAAGAGAGGAGACATAGTTTCCTCGGGGAAGATAAATAAAAGCCTTATGCATGATTGCCTTTTTAATTAGCTTTTCAGAATTATGTAAAAGAGTGAAATCTTTACTTCAAAAGTTAGCACCGAGATTTACAAAATAAATGAGCTTTAATGAGAGAGATGAATTATGAGAATATCACTGTATACACGTTGAAAATGTGTGTATACACATTTTCTCTAAGGATAAGGAGTGTAGCTGAGGAAAGCTCCTAAGGTTATCAGAAGAAGAGAATGAAGTCTGTTAGGGCCATTAGACTTCTGAATTTAATATTGTGTTTTGAATACTTTAAGGATGATTGTAAGTAAGGGGAGGTCCTTAGGGAAAACAAAAACAAAAACAAAAAAAAAGAACAAAAACAATTTAAAATAGTTGTAGAGGAGAAAGACAATGAATAAGTGTAGGGATGGCATCAAGAGATTAAAAATATTTTGTTCTCTGCAACAGGACTGGACAGCAGCTTTAATATGGAGATAGATGAAATGAGAAGTCATAGCAAAAGGTGAAGTTTTGGGCGTAGAGCAGATGTCAAAATTACTGTGATAGGAATTACTATGATGATGAGAACAGGGAATGCTTTGAAAAGGAAAAGTGAGAATTTTGAATCTCTTAGGAAGATCTCGGGAGTTAGCTGGATATCTGAACTTCCTTTGGAAGTCACGTAATTGGATGTTAAGCAAAAACAATGCATAGGAGAAATTTCCAGTGACATGCAATATTCTATTGGGACTTCAGAGTTCAGTTTTGAAGGTGATGTGTTTCTCGTGTGTCTTATGAACTGTGATTTTAGTTCTCATAAACCTTGAGAATTCTGTGAAGCTGATTAATATTGCAAGCTGGCAACGTCATGCTTTCCTGGTTCACACAATCCCAGCAAAATCAAGCCAAAGCTGGGACGGAAGCTGTTTATTTTGTGTGACTGACATGACTAATGGCTGTTTTTTTTTTCCCCTCCCTTAAATTACAGGTATGTTCAAGAGTAAGAAAACTAGAAAAGTCACTGTGGAACAGTCAAAACTTGCAAGTCTGGAGCATGCCCCAGAGGAACCATCAGATCCATTACCCTCTGTAGTTGTTGACCATGACAGACTAAAGGTAATGGAACTGAAAAATAAATTGACTTGTAACATGAAAAATGTTTCCTTCCTGTGTCATAAAGTAAAATTTCCTTTTATTTTTGGTTACAAAGTAGGAGTTTGGCACCTGTGACCTCTGACTTGTTGATCAGTGGTTTTTTTTGTTTGTTTTTGTTTTTGTTTTGGAGGAAAAGTAAATAAAACTGCTGAAACCTTATGGTCCCATTATTACTACCTTTACAAATACAGTGATGACATGGCAGTCCATTATTTTAATTGTGGCTTTTGATGATAGTCTTATGTGCTAATTGCATGTCAGTAATTGAGAAATTTCTGGGTGCCTGGTAATTAGGAGTTAACATATAATTTCCTGTCCCGTGGATGTACGCTTGGTGGAAAGGAATGTTAAGGAATTGGAAAGTAAATTGGAATTTGTGCTAATGTTTTGGTGCTACAGGTCAAACCTCTGCTAGTTAATTTTGTTTCACTTCTGTCTAAATTTAAGCAAAGTTGAAACAGATTTTGCCATCTTCTGTGGTAGAAACTAGCTTGACCTATGAAGAAATTTAGACTCCTTTGCTCTGTGCGTCATTTGTTTATCAGCAGTTTTACACGTTTTCCCTACAGATGCTTTTTATTGTATCATTGTTTGACATTTGTGGAATCCCAGATGTGTTTCCATTTGGTACTTTTAAAATTTCATGTCAACACAAAAGTTCTTGAGTGTTCACCTATCAAGACACTTTTTATGGTTTGCTTTATTTATAAACAACAATAATAACAACCAAGATGCACTAGGATTAAGTATAATTCCAAGAAGAGCAAAGAATGCACTGGTTATGCTATGCATAAACACTAAGAAAAGCATGGCTGTAAATACAGAAGTAAGATAAACGCTGAGTTCTGTTGAATTAATATAGAAGCACTGGCCTTAATAATAGCCAGATTTGGTCCATTTTGCTTCTATGTATCTCTGTAAAGTAGAGTTTCAGAAGCAGATTGCTCCAATTTGTCCTTAAAAGAAGAAGAAAGAAAAGCAAAAGAAGAAAAGATTATAAAAGTTCTTTAAACTTCACCCTTTGTTCCAACAGAAACTGCTTTATTTAGTGGTTAAGAAAAGTGACAACTTGACTGTTGACCAACTTGAGAGATTGTATTCACTCCTCAGCCAATGCATCTACAGGCATCGTAGAGACTATGACAAATCACAACTTATAGAGGTGATGTTGCACAGTTTGTTTTATTTATTTGACTTCTGTGAGACTGGTTTTCCAAGAATAGTTAATCTATGACTTTATTGTTGTACTAGCACATAAGAGCTCTAAGCAGACATAGAGGAAGGTGTGTATTTATGAGCAGAAGAAAGTGTAGCATAGTAATTACTTAAACAGAGATTGTCTCCATTTATACTTCCCTCAGAAAAGGATTAAGAATTTAACCTAAAAGAACAGAGAAAAAGGAGGACAGAATGCAGCAGCATTTAGGTGCATTTGCTAGCAGAGTAAGAATGGAACAGAAACAGGAGCTTTCAGGTGGTCATCTTGGCTTTCAAAATGTTATTCCAACTAAGTAGCTTAATTTTCATTATTCTTGTGCAGCACTGATAAACAAGCTTGATTGTAGCTATTTTATATGGAAGTCTGTAAAAATAATGTTGGGAATGCTTTATGGGTAGAATCATAGAATGGTTTGGGTTGGAAGGGACCTTTAAAAATAATGTTGTCCAACTTCCCTGTCCTGGACTGGGACACCATTCACTAGATTAGGTTTCCCTCCTAGTGAGTGAATGTATCAGTCCAAACATCCCTTTCCTTGTTCTTCACTGATTTGCTGAACCTAGGTGAAAATACTTCGTCTTCTGGAGCCATAAGTTTAAACTGTGGACAGATTTTTTTTTTTTATTAACCTTTATTTGTTTGATGGGAATAATTCAATTCCTGTGCCAGAAGTTTCCAAATTTAGCAGCACAAATAACATTGAAGTTAGAGGTTACAGTTGCTTCTTGTGCCCCTGCTTGCATTTGTGTTATTAAGCCAAAAAAAAAGTATCTTCATGCAGTTTTGCAGTTTGCTGTTTGGGACTTTCCCGCAAAACTGAAAGTATGCAAGCTTTTTCTGAATTGGAAAATAAACTCTTGATGGTCTTGGGAAAGTCCTGCACAGTGTGATGTAGGGCAGTTGCCTGCTCTGCTCACAGCATTTCCTTTTAAAGCGTTTTCATTTCAAAGGCCTTCTGTATACATCAGGAGTAAGTGGGTCATTTCACCACTGATGTAGACTGATCATAACTGTGGACATGCTTTCCCTCCAGCAACGTTGTTCTAACTGCTGAATAGTTCAGATCAACTTTGGGATTCAACTGTTAACCCTGCTGATAAAGAGACAACAATTGCTAGTTTCTAATTGGAACCCTGGACCCCGAATATTTTTCTCCATGAATATTTTATTACAAAATCTGTAGAGGCTGTAGCATAGGGTATTGTCCTGCAAAATACTTTAAACCATTTTTATACTCTTCCTCTGCCACCTTCACCTGAAAGTGTGCTGGAAATCTGTGCCAAATATTATGTAGATTAAAAGGACATCTGTGCAGAAAATCTTCAGAGACAGATCCTTACTTTGATTCTCCAAACCATGCAGTTAGGTGTTTACAGTCAAGATACCAATAGCTCAAATGTGCAGTAAGACCTGGATTCATGCCGTGTGCTATCACAATGCTTTCTTAATAACACTTATCAAGTACCTTAATTATATACATGACTCTACTTTCCTGTGAACTACTTGTTTGGATTTCAAGAAAAGAAACAGTGATGCCTCAGTGAATATGATGATGTAATATAACTTTATTTTTCTCACTCTCTATATTTGTGTATAATTGAAGTTCTGTGTTTTTTTTTTTTTGCAGGAGATGGAAAGAACAGTTCATGTGTTTGAAACATTCCTGTGAACTCGTCAAGATGGGTGGGTTTGTCCTCTCTTAAACTGCTCATGGGAGAGCAGTCCTCTGAGCCATTCAGTTTCCATTTGCACCAAGTATGTGCAGAGCCTTGGTCTTAAGTGCTCTCTCTTTTTCTTTCTGTTGAATTTGGTGCTATTGTCTCAGGTACCTGAAACCAACCAGCCTACAAGAACCAAACGGAACTTCAAATAGTTGTATCTGATATAAATAAAGAATACAATGCCACACCTTGGAGATTTTTGGTGCTACAGAAACTGTTCTCTCTTCTGCTCTTGTTCACTCTACATGCATTATCTCTGGTGAAACTTCAGGCAAAGTGGAGACCAACATACGTGAGAGAACTGAAAAGAGCAGATCTAAGTTGAATATTTTTAAACAGGCAACCTTTTTTATTTTTTTTTTTTCCAATCTTTCTCTTCTCTGGGGCAATGGACAAAAAAATCTGTTCTAAAGAAGGCAATGATGCATTGTGGTAGAAATCTTGAGTAACTGGATGTACAGTAATTTGAAGATGAGGCTCTCTAGAACTGCCTATTATGTGCCTTTTAGTCAATTGAGAAAGATAAGGCTAATCAATTGGTTTGGATTATAGCAAATGGCAATGTTAGAAAGCTCTCTTCAGAATGACGATCTGTAGATCGTATTTGTGTTCTCTTCATTGGATGGCAGCCAGTATTATGATTCTATAATGCCTGTCTTACTCTACAGAACTAAACTAAGACACGCTGAAAAAGCCACATACTTTACCAAAATGGTGAAATTTCTTTTTCATTGATACAGACTTGTTTTAGAAACAAGTTACACAGTGAAACTCCTCCGTGTTGCTAAAAGTGAAGCGTTTTCCCACCATTCCTTTGTTGTCCATCTGGAGTTTCTTTAAGAAAAGCCAGTTTAATACTGGCAGGTTTCTGTGTTTGTAATATAGCTTGGACTGTGCAGTGCAGGTAAGAAGATGTCGGTCAAAATCCTGGAGCCCAAGCTCACCTGAAAGTCAAACTTAAAGTAGGCTTCACGACTCGGTCAATGCAAAGCACTGTTAATGTCAGGAGACTGGAGGACAGCCTTTCAAATCGATCTGTTCGGACCACAGTTCTCCAGTCTGAATTGTGTAGTTCAAAATCTTTCCTCTCTGGAAACTGAAGAAAACAGTCTAGGCAGTTTCAAGAAAAAAGTTTTGTCACGAGCTCGGTATTAAGATGCTACCTGGGCTGATTTCTTTCAAATGTAAGTGGAAACTGTTGTAGAGAAGTTGGCTGGTGTTACTGTCTCTAACCATCCATCGTATCCCTACGTAGCTGCGGAAGTGTCTTTCCAGAAATATGCAACACAGTGTGATTAGTTTTTAATTAGAGAAAACAGTCTTGGACTACTGCAGAGATACTGAGCTACCTCAGCTTTTTGTATTTTAGTTACCAACAGTGTTTATTGAGGACTGTAATCGCTCTGCTCCCATTTACAAGCTGAAGCTAAGGTACTTGTCTCCACCTCTATGGCTAATAGTAGTAAACCACTGCAGAGAAACAAACACGGGCCTTGGGCTACTGCAGTAATCCAAAGTGCTTTGTATATTATAATTCAACATAATTCTGTCTTGGAACTATTTCTCCCCTGAATGCCACTGTTTTTCTTTGTAGCTAATGGCAGAAAAAGGTTTTAGGTATTCTTGTACATCTAGTTACACCTAAATGCAACCCATGCAGAATCGCTGTATTTTTTAGGTGGGAAAGTGCGATTAAAAACAACAAAAACAAGCAGAAAACACATTTTAGATGAGATTCTTTGATCTCAGATTTGTTTAGGGGATTTTTTTTCACGTTTTGTTTAGTATTTATTAGCGTCATACCTGTTTGAGATATTTTTGTGTCTGGTACATTAACAGCATTTTGTATTTTGATGGAAATTGTTACAAACTTTAAGATTTGATTAAATAAAATGTAGCAGATTTTTTGTAGCAAGTTTCTGATAAAGGGGTTTTTTGCAAGTCTCAGGTTCTTGCTGCAGAATTTTTTAAAAATATTTATTCCAGTTTCACTTACTCAAAGGAGTTTTTGTTCAAGTAACAGCAGCACTTGTGGAAGATAAAACTGCATACGTTTTTAAGACGATAATAAATTTATATGAATTAAAACAGTTGAGAAGTTTAGTCACCAGTGAGTGTAAAATGCAAGTTTAAGCTAATGCCTGGCATTAAAAATGGTTCTGAAAAGTCATGTTTCTAAAGGAAAATTTTTACTGTCAGTTGTTGATTGGGAAAAATCTTAAGAGGCGGCTCTGCGAATAGGGGAGCTGCCATGTTGTTTAGAGAAAAGTAGCTGATTTCAAATGTGGTAGTGGACAGCCTACATAAAATGATATACCCGCCTTCGTAGCCCAAATAACCACAGTTCAGTTTTGTTTTCCTTTACAGATGTCTGGTGGTTCTAGAGTTAAAGCAGCTGTTAATCTATCCATGTGGTCTAAACTTGTTTACTCTTTGTATGTTTTTATTTTTAATTTTTTAATTTTTTTTTTTTTTTTTTTTTTTTGCCATATAGCACTGGCAAGAATTTGTACAAATTGACCTCTCTTCCTTGTTTCTTATTGTGAAAATTGCAAATAAACTCCTGTGTGAGTCCTGGGGTCAATGAAACGTGGCTACCCATGAGAGAGGAGGTTTCTCTGTGGGCTGGTGGGGCTGTACTGGAGATGGAGTTGCTCTTGGGTGGAGTTGATGGCTATGGAGTTGATTGTATTTGCAAGCTTGAATCTCACCTGTGATTAATTATTTTTTGTTTTGTGTCCTCTGTATTGTTACTTGATTTCCTCATATGCCAATGTATTTATAGGATTACTGGTTTTTGTAATATCCTGTCTTCCTTTTTTTTGTTTGTTTGTTTTGGTGGGTTGGTGGGTCAGCTGTGGCTTATCCTTCAGTCTCCTGAATGGCAGGTCCTGCAGCTGATAGTCATTTATTTTATTTTTATTTTATTTTGTAATCACAACATAAGCTTGAATTTGGGCTTGTACTTGCATCTTTTGTATCCTGTACATTGGGTTATTTAGACATTGGGGAGTCCTGTTTGGTTTCATTAACGTGTGTCTACTTGGTGGATTAAGTAGACTTCCTTCATCAACTATGGTATATTTTGAATTCTATAGTTTTATTCAGAACTGTGTTCAAATTGATGTTTTGCAGTTTGACTTCATTTTACGTTAGTTTGAAGTAAGTTATTTAATTTTTTGAACTTCTGGAAATTTTGAACATTTTACTGTAATTTGTAATATAACTGCTGTGAAATACTTGAATAAAGATGACAAGAAAACACAGCTTTAAGTTCCTTCAAGAACGTTGTGTTTAAAAGCAATTCTGCCTCTTAGCTGGTTGCAGTCTTTTCGTACAGACTTCCCTGGTGGTCGCAGGTGACATGTTTTACTCTGGGATCTTGCTGTGTTGTTGTTTGCGGTGGTTTAATGTGTGACTCTTGCTTTAAGTGTTTGTCCATTAAAGTCCTGATTAATTTTGACTGAAGAAGGGAAATGAGCATTGTACGTTGCCAGGTGAATAATGTAATTATGAGTTCAAGCTCCTTGCTTAGGAAATGTTTCATGTTGAGCTGTGGGAAGATACCCAGGGCTGCTTATGGTATGCAAGTCATACCAGAATTTCTAGTTAGAGGTCTTTAAGGAAACACTTTCTCATTCTTCCCTAAATACCATAGTTATCCTTACTTTTAATTTAATTTTTTTTTATTTTTATTTTTTATTTTTTATTTTTTTTTTAAGAAAAAGATCATTTATATCTAACAAAACTGTCAGAGGTTGTGGAAATTCAGGATCAACCCACATCTCACTTGTTTTAGGTCTACATTGGCAATTTTTCCAGAGCTAAGTGTTGGTAACTTGTGTAATGTGGCACAGAGCGTTGCACAGATCTGTAGGGCTTCTCGTTGGCTCTTCTTCCTCTTTTCCTCTCTGCTCCTCAAACTATAGGGTTCCTGGAAGATACCCTATAAGTTAAGTAAAGAGGGTAGCAACTTTTTCCATGCCTGACTTGACTCTTAAATACTGCACAGTTAGATCTTACGTAGAATGTGGGGAAGCACTCATTGAACGAGGTGATCGGTTGGAGCCTGGCTCATTCCGTGTCAGCTTGGATAGGTTTGTTGGATCTAAAGGCCACGAGACTTGCTGCCCTACAGACACCCAACACTGTCCAGGGAATCTGCAGGCTCTGATCAAAGAGTGCAGAGCTGAGGGCTTGCTCTTGTTCTGTTTTCATGAGTGGTGATGGCCACCTTAATGGAGGAAGCAGTGGCAGGCCTAATTTCTGGCAGTGGTGGTAAAGATGAGCATTCAAAAGAGACAAAACTGTGCTTTATTGGGGCGTTGGAAAAAACATTTCTTGGAAAATTAGCGAGCTCTGGTGCTTCAGAAGCATGAATTAAGCGAGCAGTAGTTGAGTTTCATGTGCTGTTAATAAAGCCTTTGTAAAAACTGGAGCAGCACCCTTATTTGTCCAATGTGTGCTGCTCAAGCCTGCTTGCTTCTCCTGTTTTCTGCATTTAGTGCAGTTTTGATGTGCATTTTCCTATACTGCTCTAAATTTGAAGTGCTGCACATCTCCTTTTTCCTTTAAGCTGCTCAAATATTTTATTTAAATAAATTAGAAACGAGATTCTTTTGTTCTCTGTTTCAGGCAGGATTTTGTTTGGGACTTGCAGTATTTGGAGTTTTAAACTGGCGCTGCATGTGACTAAACACTGAAAGCCAAATCAGTAAACTTATGTACTGATTAATGAAGTTACACACTTCATTTTTCTCCCCCTTTTATGCATCACTTGCAGTCATGTAACTATTATGTAAAAATCAGGGATTATAAACTTTAACTTCAATTAATTCAGCCTCATTCAATTTCTAGGTGAGTAAATTTTTTTTTTATAGAGTTATCATTTGCATAGGGAACATATTTCTGTTTAACCAAACGCCAGGAAACGTCTGCAACTACTACTAAATTCCACTTATTTTTGGGATGCATTTGAGTTATGCTACATTGAGGCTCGCTTCGATAGTGGAGAGTTACCATACTTTAAAAAAATATGACGAGATGCTGAGATTTAAAATGGATTCACCACTTCCAGTGGAATCTTAGTGTAAACCTGGCCATCCTTATCAAGGTTTGCTAATGACTGGATGCTGATTTGGAATAAAGGTGCTTTCAGCGTTCAAGTACAGAAGGTGCTCTTGGATT